TTGGACTCAGGATGCTCATCACATATGACTGGAAAGAAAGATTGGTTTGTCAACATGAAGCCCTCATCGAAGAACACAGTGAAGTTTGCAAATGACAACACTCTAGTAGCCGAAGGTGTTGGTGATGTTCTAATTATGAGGAAAGATGGCAAAAGGTCAACAATTTCCAATGTGTTGTACATACCAGACATGAAGAGTAATTTTCTCAGTATATGGCAGCTTGTCGAAAAGTAATACAAGGTAGTTGTCGAAGACAAGATGATGAGAGTTCTCGACGCAGGTGGTAGATTAATCTTGAAGGCTCCAATGTCTCAGAATAGGACCTTCAAAATTGGACTCAATGTGATGGAGCACAGATGTCTAGCAACTGCAGCCAGCAGAGATGAGTGGTTATGGCATTTTTGGCTAGGTCATCTCAACTTTAATGACATCAGAGAACTGAAGAGACGAAATATGGTTTCAGGATTACCAGAAATCGACATTCCAAGTGAAGTTTGTGAAGAGTGTGTTCAGTCGAAACAACACAAGAATAGCTTCAACAAGGATGCAGGAAGGAAGTCGAAGGCAATACTTGAAGTCATATACTCTGATGTATGTGGTCCAATCCAGGTGGTTTCGATTGGTGGCAATAGATACTTTGTCACGTTTATAGATGATTACAGTCGAAAGCTGTGGACTTACCTCATCAAGAAGAAAAGTGATGTGATTGAGGTATTTTCCAGATTCAAGTCCATGGTCAAAAGACAGAGTGGCCAAAAGCTGAAAATTCTGAGGACTGATGGTGGTGGAGAGTATGTGTCGAAAGAGTTCGATACACTATGTGTAAAAGAAGGGATTATGCATGAGGTGGTGCCACCTTACACTCCACAACAAAATGGGATTGCAGAACGCAAGAACAGAACCATCATGAATATGGTGAGAAGTATGTTGAATGAAAAGCATCTACCTAAAGAATTATGGGGTGAAGCAGTTTCGACAGCAACATATATATTGAACAGATGTCCGACGAAGAAGCTTGAAGGAATCACACCAGAAGAATGTTGGTCTGGTGTCAATCCTAGTCTCAGTCACTTGAAGGTATTTGGATCTATAGCATATAGACATGTGCCAGATCAGTTGAGAAGGAAACTTGATGATAAGTCGAATCAGATGATCTTGATAGGGTATCATTTGACAGGAGGGTACAAGCTGTTCGACCCGGTGAATAAGCAGGTAGTGATCAACAGGGACGTGATCATAGATGAACTTAAAGAATGGGATTGGACTGAGAATGCCAAGAAGGATTCAATGAGAATCTCTTGTGAAGAACCAGCCACTGAGGTCGAAATAGAAGTTCGACAGGAACCAGTTGCAGATGAAGCAGGTTCAAGCAGACCTCGACGAACAAGACACATGCTTGCAAGGTTGCAAGAGTGTGTAATTACATCAGATGATGTAGTCGATGAAGAGGGTGAGTTGGTACATTATGCTTTCTACGCAGATGTCAAACCAGTCAATGCAGCTGAGGCATTGAAAGATTCGAAGTGGATGAAAGCAATGATTGAAGAGTTGGAGTCCATCGAAGTCAATGATACCTGGTCACTTGTTGAATTGCCGCAAGGCAAGAAGACAATTGATGTGAAGTGGGTTTACAAGGGTAAGGTAAATCCTAAAGGAGAAGTAACTCGACACAAGGCGAGACTCGTGGCGAAAGGATTTCTTCAGAAGGAAGGAATCGACATCGATGAAGTATTCGCACCTGTTGCTAGAATCGAAACAATCAGGTTGGTTGTTGGTCTAGCAAATATGAACAACTGGCACACATGTCAGATGGATGTGAAGTGTGCATTCCTTAATGGCCCCTTAGATGAAGAAGTTTATGTTGCACAACCAGCTGGGTTTGTGAAACAAGGCGAAGAAAGAAAGGTGTACAGGCTTCATAAAGCTCTGTGTGGACTTAAGCAAGCACATCGAAATGAGGTTCCATTATCTTTGAGAGCAGATAGCAGAAGGGAAGATGAAGTTGGAACACTGCAGAACTGAGAATCAGATTGCAGATATCATGATGAAGGGAGTGCAGGTCGAAGCTTTCAGAAGACTAAGAGTCATGATGAATGTAGACAGTTTAGACACAATGAATTAGGTGGTGTGTTAAATATAATTCATAGTGTAAACAGATTTGATTTGATATGATTAGATTTGATTTTAATATTTTGGGGCTTTTATGGTTTGGGCTTTTGTAAACCTAAAACTATAAATAGGGTGTCTTGCTTTGTATTCTAAACAACACAACATAGAATAGATTTCACAGTTGCAGTTTTAGCAAGTGAAAGTTCTATAAGCAATAAGAAATCTCACAGTTTGTGGGTAACAATTTTCTCCAAATATTTCTTCTCTCATTCTTCTCTTTCTTGTTTGTTCTTCTTTTCTTTTGTTGTTCTTGATAATTACTTGTTATTACCATTACTATCATATTGTGGGTTTGTTCATCAATCTTGAGATCAAGATTGAAGGGAATTCTTCATAGGGTGTGAGGTGAATTTCCAACAAGTAGTAAAATGCTGATTCCAAAAAATACCTTATCAGCTTCTTATAACAAGTAACTCGGTTATCAGCTCCTTACACCATACTGACCAGCAAGGAGTTTACACTTCTGAAACAATGAATAATAATTTATAATTAAATTAAGCACAAATTGATAACTCTATAAAGCCAAACAACAACAAAAAGTCAAGCGAATCGTAAAAAAGAAAACAAAAAATTGAATGAGAGAGAAAGCTTCTTACCGAGATAACCATGGATGAAATGACGATGAGGATGATGGTAATGGCTTAAAGCTTGGGGCGAATTAGGATGAGTGACGTTGATGATGTTGGTGGTGGTGGCGACGATGAGGACGGTGATAAGAGATAAGAACCCTAGGAGAAGATAAGGAACATAAAGGATGAGGAAAGATTGAAAAGTAACCCTAAGAAATTGGGCATGGGCCATGGAGAAGATTATGCATTTGTGTTTATGTTTTGTGCTTGTGAATCGGTCGGGTCCGGAGTCCGACGGGTCACATATGTATCACCGAACCCGACCGTCTCTATCCATTATTGCCCAACTAAATGCTTTGTGATTACCCGTAAGCCGAAGTAATCCGAACCGTTAATCAAAATATAATTCGGATCGGTCGGATATTGACAGGTGGTTACCGATTGTCCACCTTTACCTTTTTGTGTGTCCCTTTTCCCCCGCAATGATGACACTCAATATTAGAGAATCTATTAGAGCCTCCTTGTGATTTACCACACGTTGTCCCACGGTTACTTGAACTTCTACTTTGATTTCTCTCCCTCTATTTGGTAACCAACACCTCAGAATGTGAAGAAGAACCTTGTGACTTACGCCTTAACTCTTCATTCAACATGCTACTTTTAGCCAAGTCCATCGAAATGCTATCATTCGGAGCGGAGTCAGACAAGGATGTTCTAAAAGTCTCCCAAGAATTAGGCAAAGTACCAAGAAGCCACAAACCTTGAATTTTATCAAGTAAGACTCATTGCTGACAATTGATTTAGAATTCTTTGAAAAGTGTTCAAGTGATTGGTCATTGGTGAACCATCAATATACCTCAATGACATCAATTGCTTGAACAAGAACAACTTATTGTTCCCCGTCTTTCTTGCATACAACTCCTCAAGTTTGGTCCAATGAGAGCGAGCATGAGTCACCGAGCTCACATGATTCAAAACATTACCACCCATCCATTGACGAATGTAACCACAAACTTGTCTATGCAACAAAGCTCATTTTTCATCACTCTTTTCATCGGGTTTTTCATTAGAAAAAAACCAGCAAGTGAAAGCCTTTTAACATAATGCAAATATTCCATCTTCTCTTTCCAAACATTATAGTTGGATCCATTCAAACTCGTCATCCTATATGTGTTCGTCTCCATCGTTACAAAAATTAAACCACATCTCTAGATACCACTTGTTTTGAAAATCCACAACGCAGTGGAATAATTCAATAACACAATCTCTACCAAAAATCAAATGCAACTTAGATATAATCAACAAAACACACCAAACAACACAACACAATTTTAACGTAGAAAAACCTTCGTTATTAAGAGTAAAAAATCACAGGACCCGTAGGTCACTTTGTTGGAAAATATTTTATTTCCATATTTAATTGTTTACATTTATTGTCATTTATTTTCTTTTATTCTCCACTAAGGAGAGAATTAAGTATTTTTATTGTATTTTCATTATATAAACCAGTCTTTGGCTGAGAAATAAAATTACAACAGTTTTTACCTATTTCTTCCAATACATTTAAATCTCCACTATAATCAAACAATGGATACAATCAAGGTTCTATCTAACACTAATTAAATACATATATCAACATACTCAAGACTTACAATCAATCTCGAAATACAACAAAAAATTAAAGATATAATCAACCAAAAACAACCTCAGAAAACCACTCGGCACACAGGTCTAGAAAACTTAAAATCTGATATCCACCTTTCAAAATGTATCTCTACAAGTGTTGAACACTGTCACCAAAAATCGAAACAATCTGATGGTTAGATTGTGAAAAAACTCTGATCTTTGAGACTTATTTGTGCTGAATTGGAGCCGCAGAAATAGTGTATTCTAGTGTATTCTCTCTAGCTTTTCTTCTTTTGTCTTTCAAACACTAAATTGAATTGAAAGACCTAACTCTCTTTGTTGGATAATAAAGAAAACTTACATACATATAGACTTCTAACCCACTTTCATTTGATTCAGTTCAAATATGGTGGATAGTCCAACAACTTAGTGTCTGTTAGTGATTGTTTTGGTTTAGTCTGTATTTTTACAAAGCAAGTAAAAGATTATATAAACATTATCTTTTTGGATGGAAAACTTTTTAGTTAAAATTGTACATTTAAAAATAATTATGTAATATGTCATATTTTCCGCACTTGCTAAAATGATCTAAAATTTAATGGTTATGATTCCCTCTAGATTTAGCAATGTTAAATTCTAAATACGTTTTAGTGTAAGCAACATCATGTTCTTAAATTCCTTGAAATCAAGCTTGCCATCTAAATTAGTATCATATGAGTGAATCATCAATCTACAATCCTTTTCTTCACCCCACATGTCAAGCCTCTTCAACACACATTCCAATTCTATACTAGTGATGAATCCATCTCCATCCAAATCAAACACCTTGAAAGCCTTCAAAAGATCACTCTCCACCTCCTCAATCTCATCACCATCTTTCCTCTCCCCATTTATGGAGTCATAAAATAACATGAACTCACTCATGTCTAGACTCTTCACTCCCACTAGAGACTCAAGCTCCTCTATGCTAAACTTGAAACCTGTTCTCTTTAGTAACTGGTTCAGCTCCTCAAGGGTTACAAATCCATCACTATTTGAATCTAGCTTCTCAAAAATCAGTTCTAACTCATTGCGGGTTAGGGGACACATATTGGCAAAAGATTCACCAAAATAGTATATGAATATGATGATTCTCTAAACACACATATATACTCATACATGTAAGGGTTTAAATTAATTGCAGATAATATATTTGTAGGGACCATGTTATCATTCTAGAGTGAGAAATGTTCTAACACTAGACTAGAATTTTCTAGTCTAGTCAATTTTTTTCTAAATGGAAACTTTACTTAGACTAGAACTTTCTAGTATACTTCATATTTATCTATCTATTCATTGTATTTGTGGTCTTCAGTTTCTTACAACACATGATTCATGAATCACTCATGTATAGAGTCTAGTTTGGGAATGATAAAGTGCATAAGTGAATTTTGTTTGTTTTCAATGTAAGAAATTGTTCCACTATGCTGGTCAGTCCACCACACTTAAAATAACCTTGAACAAGAAAAGATCAACTCCAAATCATTGATAAGAGATTAGCAGTTGATATTTACATATAAATCATAACAAATTCCGAATTCGTTAAAATAACTTGATTTTCTCACATTTATTTTTGGCTGAAAATGATTTTATCACTTTAGTTTACACTTTATTAACTTTTTGGTGAGCTAAATTCAACAAAATTTGCTATAAAATCAAAATGGGAAGAGATCAGGTACAATTAAGCATACGTTTAGCAGAATCTAAAGTGTTAACTAGAAGCATAGTAACTGTCATAGGTCCAACCCCACCAGGTACAGGAGTAATATCTGATGCCACCTTTATGACTTCTTCAAAGCATACATCACCTACTAGACGATAACCGTCCTCGCAGCTAGGATCCTGTCACATTTTATCCATAAAAAATGGTTAACTGATATATTCAGCAGCAAGCAAAATGTAGCAACTTGAAAACTTACCTCAACAGGACTTGTTCCAACATCGATCACAGTTGCACCGGACTTTATCCAGTTTCCACGAACTAAGTTAGGAACTCCAGCAGCTGAAACTACAATATCAGCTTCTGACGTGGTCTGTTCAGGGTTTTCAGTATATGCATGTATGATGGTGACTGTTGCATGGTGTCTCTGCCAACATAAAAAAAAAAAAAAAAAAAAAGTATCACACTTAAAAAGAAAAATGCGGTGAAAGCATGATATCATGATTTTTAACAGACAGTGCTTACTAATTTCATCTTTTACCTGTAATAATAATGATGTTGGAAGACCAACAATATTACTTCTTCCTATCACCACGGCACTCTTGCCTGCAATCTTAACTCCGGATCTGATCAGCAACTCAATGCAGGCCTTTGGAGTACAAGGAATAAACAATGGTTCCCTTCCTGTTAGAGCAAGATCCCCCATATTAATAGGATGAAAACCATCCACGTCTTTTTTAAGACATACAGTATCCAAAAGTTTTTCCTCGTCCAGATGCTGTCCCAAACATTTTACAACAAATCAGTCACACTACAGCTCGAAATCCTGAACACATGTGCCAATCTTCATTTATTTAATTATTTGTTATGAATGTGCATCCGAGTCTGATAGGTTAACTTGTTATTCAGGAAAATAAAAGAATATCCAAACTTCTTAGGGTTCTAATAGATTGGTTTACTTGGACGTACTATCTCATTTAATCGGACAGAAAACAATTATGCTTTCATCTTATTCTCCCCCCTTTACAAAATAATATTAGACCATAAGTACTTACATACGTTGTTTCTAACAGGGTCTAATTCAAAATGTAAAACTAATAAAAGAGGAGGGTCTCGGCCGGTTTTTGTCTGTCAATAAAGTATAATTGATGGAGAAAGTAAAAATAGATCATAGATTTGTGATGCCAATTACTTCAAGGATTTCAAAGTGATAATAAAATTGCATTACTAGCATGGTTTATAATGCTATAGCTATTACGACGCTCATCCATACCCATAGCCAAATAATATAAAAGATGTAAACAAGAAGAAAGGAGCAGATACAAACAAATGAACACAAAAGATATAGCATTGCTTTGTTGGTGGTGCATCGTAATCAAAGTGCAAGAAAAAGTGTTATTGAACATTCACAGGGAAAACACATCACATAATGGGACAAATAACAACAACCAAGCCTTATTACACTAAGTGGGGCGGCTACATGGATTAAATTCCGCCATAATGTTCTATCCAATTGTTTAATCTCAATATCTTTCTTAATAGTTTTTCTTTTAGTTTTTCTAGATCTTCTTCAACATAATGCGACAAATCAAGAAACAAAATGAAATTTAAAAATCACTTCTAACTTCTAAGAGATTGTACTAAAACATCAACTACAACAAAGTAAAGCTATATTGCGATATTTTATAAATATTTTAACAAAAACAAAATAAAATTCCAAGAGATCTCAATGATAGTTGTTTCAGTGCAGAAGATCATGCATGATACATGTTTCTAGTTTTCTTTCATAAATGATGTGATAAATTACACATTCAGAAAAAGATTGTGGTTGGACCTGACTTGCACCGTTTTTTTTTTTTCAAAATAAAAACTAAGCCGATACTAAAATAGTAAAATTCATCAAGTTATGGAAAAAAAGTCACAGATTCAGAAATTACTTGTGGTAGAGGAAGCTGGATAAGAATTCCATGAATTGATGGGTCCTTGTTAAATCTCATGACAGCATTTTGAACATCAGCATCTGCACAGTCAGTAGGTAATTCAGTCACCACAGACTTGATTCCAACTTCTTCACAGGCAATTATCTTGTTGCGAACATAAGTAAGAGAATCCCTCCTCTGGCCCACCAAAATAACAGCTAACCCAGGAATTTTTCCTATGTTTTTCTTCATTTGTCTTACCTGATCAGCTATTTTAGATCTGATTTCTGCTGACATCAACTTTCCATCAAGAACCCTAGCAGTTTGCTCATTAACTGTGGCAAATTTCAATGTTAACTTGTGAAATAAAATGGACAGAAGAAGCAAATATGTATATGGAAAATGCTAGCATGTGCCCTTACGGCACTTGTTAATGTACTAAAAGATTGAATTTTGCATTGGAAATTGTGCATTCAAATTTCTGTTAAAGTTAAAAATTGTTATTTTCAAGACATACTTTCTATTTGTTGATTCCTTAACATTAGGGCAGAAGTTAGCAATACCCTACGTTTATTAGGAGGAAAAGAAAAGAATGATAGCTTCTAGCAAAATATTTATAGGAATAGAAGCGAAATAGTTTCTGTCAACCCTAACCCATAACGTGACTGGCATATATACTAAGTTAACTAAAATATATAGCTACACTTATCAATCACAACAATGTATTTAACAAATCTTTCTAATCTATTGAAGTATCTAATCTCAGCTAATGCTATCCTATCTAAGTCAATACCTTTCATTGGTACCACATTACATATTCAAGTCTATGTCAATCGCTTGACCTCTACCTCCCATCTCAGCTGATGTACTCCACCAATGACATCCAGACTCTGGGTAATTTTATTCCTAAGGATTAGGTTGGATCAACTCAAGGTTAGACTAATTTGTTAAATGTTATACACAAATCTTTGGCTGGGATTATGGGGGCGCCTTTTTCTCAGTAGCAATAATGAGTTTTGTTTGCTTGCTTTTGTCGGTGGGTGTAATTGCCACTACTAGCCTCTTTATTACCTTTGTATTAAGAGTGATTTCTTTCATGGTTATCACAGTAAAGTTATTATTAGAAACTAAATGCATTAGATGTTGATAGTTTTCAGGGCTAGTTTCAAATCTCTATATGGCTTCAAACCGTCTCCAAGGGATTGGCTTAGCAGATTTAGCAATGTTGTTTAGTAGTTTTGTATAACTCCAGGTGAGACACATTGTTATCTTCTATTGCCATTCAGAAACAGGGAGTATTTACTTGGCTGTGTATGTTGATGATAATGTCATGAATGGCCAGTGATCATCACGGCATTCATTAGATAAAACAATATGTTTCTCACCAGTAAGCAATAAAATAGGTATCACCACTTACAGGTTGAATGAAAGTTAAACCTATGACACTATGATGGAACACCTATTGTCAAACTTTAACCAAATTAGAGGGAGCCACTTTCAAATCCAGATATACAAAAGAGTAGTCGAAAAACTAAATCATCTCATGGTCGGTCGCTAAGTCATCTCATGGTACATAGCTATCAAAACTACTTTTCACATTGGATGAGAATTGGAGGCTATATAATTATCTGGAGTCTACAAATGACAGCAAAGCCCATCCTTTGCTCAATTAAGTTTAAGAAAAAGTAAAAAGGATGAATGGATAGAGTTAACATTAAATAGCATCAAAACATCTAAAATAATAGTAGAATTTAAGAACCAAATAAATAGCAAGAAAAAATTTGTCAAATTAAGGGAAAAAATCCTTACAGCTTTTATGTATGACTGGAATACTATGACATGAAGAAATAGGAGTCCAGATATCAGGAAGATCCAGAGTCACAAGAGCAGGAGACATTAAAATTTGGTCTGATTGATGGCCTTTGAAGGTGTGAAGAAACCTTGTTTTTGTTTGAAGATGCCTTCTTAGACAATTCATCCATGTGACTGCCATCAAGCCCATTATACTTGTCAAGTTAACATCAACGCAACTTCTACCTATAGAAATGTCATCAGAGAATCAGTTTTCTCTCCCTCTCTTTCTCAGTCCATACAATGTATATCTCAAAGGAACATTAAGTGATGAAAAAAAAAAGACTATATCCATTTCATAAAGATATTATATAACACTGATATTACATGCATACATTTCATCAATTTGAACCATCATAAGTAACTAGAGTACACAAATAAAGAACAAAAATAAAAAAAATTCATAATTTGATGTGCTCTGTAACTAAATAAGAAAATACAAACAGAAGCATCATGAAATAGAAAATAATAGGAACATCTGTCAACTCTTAGGGTTTTGGAAATTAGGGGAAATTATACCTATTGGAATAGGAAGACCGTGGTGTTCGCGACGGAGTTCGCCGATACAGTCTCTGTTGCACGGTGGAGTTTGTTTGGCCAATGGTGGGAAAATGGAGATGAAATTATTTTAATTGAAAAAAAAACCCTAGTATATCGCTATAAAATTCCAATATATACATTTTTTATAAAAACGGTATAAAACAGAAGATATTGAACGAAAAAGATACAAGAAAACTAAGCCAGATATCTATGTTACTTCAAATATAATAAGGTTTAATGCATCATTTGCTCCTTTAATTTTATTTAAGATTTTGATTTACTCTTTTATTTAATAAATGTTTGTTCTAAGTCTTATGTCATTTTATTAATTATATTAGTTTTGTCAGTTAAATTTGGTTAAATTCCGCTAACGTGTGTATGTGTGGCACTCCCGTAATACTAAGTTAGATGATATGAAATTGTTTTATTTTATATTGATTTAAAATTTAAAAATTTAAAATAGAAGAAGTTAAAATGTAAACGAAACCATAGTCATCTTCATTACTACTTATTCTCTTTCTTTCTCTTGTTCTCCTTGTTTCTTTCATAAACTCTCTTCAATCTCACACCAACACCAACACCAATAACATCACATCAACCTAACACTCAAATCTGGTGATTATCACGAAAAGAAGACTAAGATAAGAGAATTGTTCTTGAAGGGAAATTGATGTTAAGCCTGTTATTCTTGCTTTAAGGGATTCTTGTATTTTAATTGATATGTTGTTGTCGTCCGATGATACAGAGGCATGAGCTTTGGGTTCTTCTTGCTTTGTCTCGACATAACAAAAATTGTTCACCTGTGTTCAAATTTAGGTCAGGACCTCAGATATGTGGTTTATGGTTCTTTCTGATTTTTTGAAATTATACTCAGATTTGTGATTTTTGTTTATTGTTCAGGTCAGGACTCAACTCGGTCAAGAATTTTGTTATGTTCAATTTTCTTCAGTCGGTGATTTTTGTTCTTTGTTCCTTTATTTGGGTATTAATGGAAAAAATATTGTTTTTGTAAAAGAAAGTTTCAATTTTTCGTTTTAACAACTGAGGGTTTTTTTCTCCAAATGTTAGTTTTGATGTTAGAAAGAAATCTAAGAGATTATTTAACGAGTGGAAGGTAAACATGCTGAATGAGGATCTCGGGGCAAGTTGGGTTATGGCTTTTTTTTTACAATTTGTGACAGTTTGTGGTTTTCTACCTAAATTGAATCTGTGTGAGCTTGCTGAAGGTGAGAAAATTACTTAGAAGGGGGGGGATGAATAAGTAAGACTAAAAATCAAATATTAGAACACAGATATTTTTATCCTGGTTCGTTGAAAACAACTACTCCAGTCCATCCTCTCAAGAGTGATTTGCCTTTCTCTGTCAAGGACTTAATCCACTATTTTAATCAAACAGATTACAAATAGCAACACCTAAGAACAACCGTTCTTAGTCTTCTCAAGAGCAACAGATCCCAACTGGATCCTCTTAAGGAAAACCTTTTACAAACAAAGTAAAACTTTTACAAGAGTAAGAATGCTTCTAATAAGCTGTTATCACAACAGTGATATTTCTCTTAAGTTAAGAATTAAGATAAAGCAAAGTAATACGATTAAGAGCTTTGTGAGATTTGCTTTGAGTAGTGATTTTGCTAGAGATTCGATACTGAAGAAGATGGAGTGGACTTCTTTATATAGGCACTAAGATCCAAGAAGTCTTGTTACGTTGAAGGCTGTGCAGAAAAGCCTAGAGCCTTTTGTCTTCACATTGGAGGCTGTGCTGAAACAGGCCTGATGCTTTTTGTCTTCACTTGCAGAATACTTTCCTCAGAATGGAATGCACAGATAAAACCTTTTTGTCTGTGTCTTTGTGTCTAGCACAAAATAGGAAAGAGCTGTTGAGAAAAACCAACGTACATATTTAAATCTTCTTCAAAGTAAGTTCAGCTTTCAACATAAGAATCTGAATCTTCAGAGTCTTCAGACCAAGGATCATCTGGATCTTCAGAGTCTTGAGTGTTCTTCAGATTGAGCTGAATCAGAGTATGTGCAGCTTGTGTGCTTGAGCGTGTAAAACTCTCAGAGCAGAGTCTTCTAAGCTTTAGAGGCTCCTTCTTCAGAATCTTCAGGAGACAGTAGTCAGATTCTTCTGGGAGCAGTGTTCAGATCTTTACTTAAGATGCTCTTGAACTTGTGAAGTCTTTCATACGAACAATGTTCAGATGCAATTTTGCTTTCTTAAGATAATTTTCTTTAGTGCCTGTAGCAAACAATTTAGAACACGTTTAGAGTATATAATTCTTGAATACAAAATTTATAAGTGTTATCATCAAAACATAGAGATATAACTAAGACACAATCTGTGCTCTTACAATCTCCCCCTTTTTGATGATGACAAAACATGAGAAAATTTTGTTCAATAAAGAGTAAGAATTAGAAACTCCCCCTGAGATAAACAATCTCCCCCTGAAATAAATACTACAATAGAATAGAATACTTCCCTTTCTGATTGAGTATATTTCAGATTCAGAGCCTGATGAATGAGTTCAGAGTAAAATCTTGATGCCAGTTGATTGAATAAATGTATCAGAGTAAGATAACAGAGTTGATTGAATACTCAGATTTTCTTTAGAGAATCAGGTTCTGGTTGACACAGTCTCAGGGTAACTTCAATGAATTATGTCAGATATAACCGTGTATTCTGAAAGACTTAAATTCAAATAAGTTAATAAAATGTCTGAATTTTAGTTTTGGTAAATGCTTATAGGTTGAACACTCAGTTTCTCTTTTTCTCCCCCTTTTTGTCATAATCAAAAAGATTTTCAACGACAGAAAGAAATAAAAGAAAAGAAGCAAATAGGAGCAAACCATGTTATCATGCAATTAAAACAAAACACACCAAAGTTCACAGACAAACAGGCAGAGGCCAAAAACACATAACACAATAAAAGTAACCAAACATCAAAAACTCAGTTCATGTGCAAAACAACAAATAAAACTAGGTCTGGCGAGAGGCAATGAGGGTCAGAAGCTCTGTCATCTTGGCAGCTGACTCTTCTTGCTTAGACATCCAGGTCTTGATTTCATCAGTTGTTTTCTCTTGCTTGAGCATCCAGTCCTTGATATCCTTCACATCATTCACAAGTTCTGAAACCACAGATGAAGACGGAGCAGATGCAGTAGCAGCAGGGTTCCCTTCAGATTGGTTTTCAACAGAAGCTTGTTCAACCATTTCAAAATCAGGAACAACTGGAGGAGCAGCTTCCAATAGTAACACAGGAGGAGGAGGAGGCATGTTCATCAGTGTCACCTTTATTAACTCAGCAAATTTTGTCTTAGCAAGCTTAGAGCATTTTGCTCTAACTTTTAGGGCAGCTTTGTTAAACATCCAGATGAAGCGCTTCCAAGCAGTATTCGAAACATTTGGGTCCAAACTAGACATGCATACAGCCTTAACACGATCATATTCAGAATCTAACTCCTTTTTGAAAATATCAAACATAGCATTAACACAAGATCCTAAATCTGACTGTTCATTCTGACCAGAGGAAAAAGGATTAGGGGTGTTAGCAGGAGTAGGTTCAGATGGTTGTGGTTGAGGTGTGGGTGGTTGAGATGTGTGGATGACAGATTGAGGGAGTTCAGCTGAATGAGGAATAGTTTGATTCTCAGATGGGTTAGTTTCAGGTGGTTGTGGAATGTTTTGGTTTTTAGCTGTTTGAGTGCCAGAGGGTTGAGCTTCAGATGGTTGTTGAGATGGAGAGTTTGGTGGGGTATGAAACAAAGCAATGTTAAGATGTTTCTTCATAACACTCTCAGAGCGAGCTTGTTTGAGTGATTCTGAATCACAGTCAGATGAATCAGATGAATCAGAGGATTCATCTGAGTGAACAGATGTAGAAGAAATTTCAATTGTTTGGTTTAGGGGTGGAATATCAAGAATATTGTCAGAGAGATTTGGATCTTCTGAGGGAATTGCTTGTTCAGAGTGTTCAGTTTGAACATTCTCTGGTTGATTTTGTTCTGAAATAATTGTTTGTGGTTGGGGAGTCTCTAAGTGGGGATTCTCTAGGTGCGACAAAGTTGGTTGTGGAGTTGCTGTTGGAGAATTTTCTGGTTGAGTTGGTTCTTGTGGAGTTATTGTTGGAGAATTTTCTGGTTGAGTTGGTTCTGGTGGTGGAATTGTTGTTTGAATAGATTGATGTTGTGGATTAGATGGGATTGGTGCTGGAGATGATTGTAAATTTACTGGTTCAGAGGATAGTGGTACGGATGGAATATTGACAGACTTTCTAGATTTTGAAGTTCTTGGTATGAGGCTTGGAGAGAGTTGTGGTGAAGATACTGGTGAATGAACAGTAGGAGTAGGATCAGAGGCTAATACCTGTTGAATGGTGTCTCTGATTTCTTCTAGAGTAGCTTCTCTTAGACTGCTTCTGGCCTTCTTTCCTTCTTTCCTCTTCTTTCTTGACGCTTCAGGAGCTTTTCTCTTCTTCTGAACGGATTCTTCGTCAGCCTTCCTCTTACTGCGCCTTTCCTTCATCTGATTTGGCAATTCTTCTCCAGGCTTTTGAACGAGATTGGCAGGTAAAGGGATTCCTTCCTTTAGGCATTCAGTAATGTACAGCCAGA